CGCATTAATTAATTGTTACCAATCGCGGGCTGCTAAAAATTTAGCAGATTTCTCTAATGCAGGCGAACGAATGCTAGATATGTTACATAAAGAAAATAATTTGGAAAAACGGATCGATCGTATGGATCTGAGAAACCCTTCCAAATGGAAAGATACTGATGGTGATGAAGTGGACTTTCCACAACTGTCGGAAGATGATATTCGAGAGCCAGCTTTAGGTGAGTTTACATTACCTCGCGGGGTTTATTCACTTAAGTATGTTCTGTTTGCTTCTGACTTATGTATTAAGCTGTATTCCAAGTCAAACAAGCACGGTCTTACGTAGAAGAGAAGAAATCATCGGGTGATGATTATATATTTACAGTTCAGTTGCATCGATTGCTAAACAAAACTATCAGTACCAAAGAAAAGCATATTTGTATGGTACACAAAAAACGGTTCTTATAGAAAATATAAATATATTTTTCAAACTTACTTCATCATGTTGACAACGGCAAAGTATTAAATTTATAAAACATGCTGCCCCATTTCGTTAAGCTTCTTATTAACATATATTGTAGAGCTTTTCGTGGCGCGTCGAATGATGTATTGCGCTAGCCTTAATATAAGATGGTTACTGAGAAATGTTGATTTTACAGTCATACTGTGGGTGCTAAATCATCGCTCCTTTTCGAGTGAATTCTGTCGGGTATATTCGACTGAAAGCGCTCGGAAGGGTCGAAATCATCGAATATTATAACTGGATAATCTATATCGAATTTCATCAACAGATTCTAAATTTCATCTAAAAATATGCATCCGCTCAGGAGTTATAACGTTTCGAATTTTTGCGACATGTCTCAAAAATTCAAAACGTTATAACTCCTGAACGGATGCATATTTTTAGGTGAAATTTAGAATCTGCCGATGAAAGCCGATGTAGATTAAAAAATGGAATACTAAAAAACAAAAAAATTTTGAGGGGGGTGCCCAAAGAAAAAACTTTTTTTTTCGCAAACTCCGATCGCAAAGTTTTTTTGTTAGAAACTCATCATTTGGGCCCAATATCATCCTTCATAAGGTTCATCTGAGTCCCATGCTCTCAAGTGAGATCCAGTATAGCCCCAAATCCTGGCTACGTGCCTGAAACCAAGATCTTTAAAAAACGGGTCTTTAAATCGAAAGGGGGAAAAACCATTATGATATTCGGAATCAGCATGTTCGATTACCTATTGTCAACTGAGTTTAAGCTCAAAAGCGAGGAGGCAGTTGGTGGCCTTCCCTCGTATGTTGTGCTATAGAAAGATGAAACTAATTATTTCAAAGATTTTTTAATACATTTATTCTTTCCTGTTTAGTAGAAACGTTCATTATAAGGAAATATTTATACGGACCATGTTCGTCATTAAAAGATGAAAAATTAAAACCATAAAACCTTTCTGAAAAGAAAATGTTTCTGTTTTGTTTAGACATTATATTAATAGGAAGTTTTTCCCAGTAAGAGATCAGCATTACATACCGATGTCAGTTTACAGCTGATTTAAGAATAACCAGTTAAAACATGTATAAGGTGAAGTCATGTGAACATTTTTACATCTAAATGACAGAAAGAGACTCTCAATTACCACATTAATAATTCGCATTGAAAATGTCCTCCGACAATTCAATAATAAACACACTAAATTTTGTATCTGACTGTTTTGCCGTTATACTTTAACCCATTGCCCGCTGACGACATCATTGAATAGAACAAATTGGGCTACTGATATATCAGTGGACAGCGTGCAATGTGTTAATCGTTTTATTTGGATTTGGATTCATCGGCCTTACCCTCAATACTCTTGTATTTAGACGCAAATCATTACGTAAAAATGCTTACACATCCTAGTTTTTGGCATCCACGACCGCCAATTGTTTTGTTGTGTGTTTTATCCTACCAAGTCGTATTTTATCCGACGGTTGTAATAATGATCCTGGAACATATTCTCTGGTATACTGTAAATTTCGCTTTTATATCTATTATACCTGCAAATCTCTTTCATCATGGTTCATTGTTCTAGCCACCACCGATCGCTTTATGTCTAGTTCTCGTGGTTTCAAATATCAACATTTTAGTCCTTTATCTATAGCTCGATGTACTATTGTAATTACAACAATTATTTGTATATTATTCTATTCGCATGTACTCATCTTTTATGATATTACAAATGGTTTTTGCGATGCGGTAAACGGTGTCTATCGAATATTCAATGTGTGTTATCTTGTGCGTTACAGCATCATGCCACCAATGTTAATGAGTGTATTCGGTTTTTGAACAGTTTATAATGTACGTCGTCTAAGGCGAATTGCACCCAGAATAACAGCATCCCAAATTATTGTATTGACGAACAAAAATCAACAATTAGCATTTATCATAGCTGTTTCAAGCTATATTCATATCATTGGCAACTGTGCCACATGCAACTCAAAAACTATATAATACGTTAACATCCAATACTGTAAAAAGTGATTTTGTCCTTGCACGAGTCAATCTTTATCAGAACTGGCTCGTACAATATCGTTTACTAATCATACATGTTCATTTTATATTTTAACTCTGTCTGGAAACATTTTTCGTAGAGAATTGATAAAAATATTTCAAAACATTAGACGTTATTTTATGCCTTGAAATACAAGAATCAGATGTATTTCATTAAGAAGTAGTCAATCACAAGAAAATAACAAAGCAGCATCATATATCATAGAACAAACTTTGCTGGATTGTTACATCACTTTGTTCACCGAGAGTCGCATATAAAGTGCACATTTTAGTGAATTCGTTTTACTCGCTGTAGTTAATTATTATATTTGAATCTTTTTAATCTTCCCAGGCAAACTTTTTCTGCGAAAAAAACGCGTTAGGGTGCGTTTAAATTTTCAAAGAAATTAACGCGTTTAGTAGGATGTTTTTTGTCACATTCTGGACGTTCAAACGCGTTACTGATCAATGCGTTTCACAGCATCAATAATCAACGCGTTAGAGCGCGTTATAACTTCACGCGTCTGAACTCCCAAAATGTGACAAAAAGCATTAGGGGTGGCGCATTTTCTTTACTGATGCGTTACTTTACTGAGTAAAGCAACGCTTTCAAATATCACCGTATGAGTGACGAACAACCGAAAATGTATTGTTTTATC